TATAACAGATCTTGTGTTGGCACCTGTTTCTTCCTTTTTCCTTAGATATTCTTTTGATTTCTTAATAATTGCAATTTATAACTATGTTGTTTTTTCATGGATGAGGAATGAATTACCTCCTCAGTAGTAAGTGAGTGAGAAGTGCTGTTCTTGGTAAGATTAGCAGCTTGATGGTTCAGAGACTGGCACTGAAATTTATTTTTTGGTAATTTTTCTATACCTGACAGCTAACTAATGCTAATAAAATATGTTTTTTTAAGGACATATTTTTGTTCTGTTTAATCTGAAAAGTGATGGTCATTGATGCAACTTGACTATATGGTAATTGAAGGATAAAGTGACCATGAAGTTTGTACATATACAGTCACTTAAAAAAATCTTTGGACATGAGACTGACAGATCATTTGCAACAATTATTGTTTTAGGGGAAAGCACCTAACACTGGTGACATCTTACACCCTACTGAATAGTCCAGGGACCCATGATGGAAAGTATTAACACATTTCATTCCATTTCAGTCATAACAAAAGATTCATATATGCAGGGTAGCTGAAACCAAAAATGCCTATGATTTTAGAATTGTTTGTTTCTTTCACATTATCTTTCACAACTTCAAAATGCCTGGTACACATACATATCAAATGCAGAAAAAACTGGATCCTGATCCATTGGCAGTTGACAATCATTTATCAGTTTCTACTGCTCCCAGCTTCCCATTGGAAATTGATCTAAAGCATAAAACCATTGGTGGTCAGCTTTGCCACATATCTGTGACTACAGATAAGCTTATCAAGCATGAAGTGCTAAACAATCCACCTCTCACTGCCTCCCAACTTAAGAAGTAAGTCACTCTAAACTTTAGAAAATGGATAGCACAACACTAGTTGCAAACTGAATTACAGCCACTCACCACTAATTGAATGCACATAAATTTACTGAGATGTTTTCTTCTTGGACTAAAGAAAAATTATTGAAGGCTATGTGGCCTGATGTTAGCACATTTCAAGCATTCATAAGCCATTCTGTGAAGGTAAGATGTCCTTGCAGACCATGTCAATATAACTTCTCATATCGTCAAGCACTCAGAGTCTGTCATGCATTGGGGATATTATAGTGGAGCAAATGGCAGTGATTGATTGTATATCCTTTCAAAGAACAATATGATAAATTTGATCATCATATTGGTGTGTTAGATAATCATCAATTTTGAGGGAAGGTTTGGATAGGTGAAGGTTAGACTGCAGTCTTTTTTACATTTACTGTAATTTTCCATGTGAGAGGGATGTAGTACTAGATATTTTATCAAAGAAAGAGCATTTCTTACAGAAAATTATTACATTTTTTAAATAGTGTGTTGAAGGGTATTTTACACTTTGTATGTACTCATATGCAGGCGTCATCAGGGCCCAGGGCAAATAATAGGGCCAGGCCCTCAGGACAATCCAATTTTAATAGGGTAAACCACTACTCGAAGACTTGCAATTATTTTACTAATATCACCTAACTTCAAAAATATCGCTAGTTAGCAGAAGATTGAGGACATTTTTTGAATCACTTCCATAATTTTATTTTATTGATAATAGCAAAATCTTGTTAATCTTAACTGCAGTAACATTGATTTAGTATAAATACACTGTATAAATTTGCTTAATTAGTTGTTCTTGGGCTCAAATAAGCAACTACTGTATATTTTTACAGGCCCCTTTTGGGACCCAGGCCCCAGGGTCGTTGCCCTGGCTACCCCCCTGTCCGTGGTCCTGCTCATATGTACAAATCATAAGCAGTCCATTATTACCTGTATTGTTGATATTGGCAAGGAAGACCATATAAGATTTACCAAAATAGTAAATGTTAACTGGTCTCTTAGTCTTGTGATTATCAGTTCACATTAATGAACTTGAATGTGATATCTGAGATTTACTTGGAATAAGCTTATTGTCATTTTTAGTATATTTTCACAGGATCCACCAACACTACTGTGAGACTGACTTAAATCATATGCAAATGTCTTTCAGGTGTCATATGTAGTATATTAGCAACAGCATTGGCCTATATAACTGGGCAGGTCATGAAGGATAATAGGGAAACAAATTGGAAAAATAGTTATCACACTTTGGACTATTTTTATTTGAAAAGTAAAATAAATACATTTCTTGATGTCAAGTATAATTCATTATAATAATCGAGATCTGGTCAGTAGATTTTAGTGAATAGCATGCATCCTCTCTTATTTACTAATATTATGGTTATCAAAAGCCAATAAGGCCACTGTAATTACTTGACTTTCAGTATATAATGATGACTTGTATCATTCATGGCTTCCTGGGTTTCTTGGGTTTAATTATTACCCACGAGTGATTAAGCAACACATTAATATTGCAGTATTCTTGGACAGTGTCATATTGATGTAGTTCACTCAGTCATATTGAATAGATCTTTTGGCCTAATGCCTTTAGAAATAAAGCTTTTAAAATGAAGAAAAGAATGTAGTGGCACATATATGTCAAGTGAACTGAAAAGAAATCATGAAAAGGAAGTCATTTCAGTTACTCAAGGGTGCTGGTCATTGAGCTAATTTTTGTCTCTCATTTTTTTTTTCATTTGTCAATCTGAATATAAAAGTAGTTACCTTTATGTTCTCAGCTCAATATAGTGTATCCCAGTAGGATTCAATCTTTCCAGATTCACATTGTGACAAAAGAAAAAACAAAACATTTTTGGTTTTATTTAGCAATATAATATTTTTCTCTCTGCTTTAATGAGCTACTGATATCAAAATGTATATTTTTCAGAAATGGAAGCCAGAACAAAAGAAGAGTTATTAGAAGAGCTCAGAAAAAAGGAACTTGAAATTCAGGCTTTAAAGGAGCAGCTTAAGAACCAGAGTAAAAATTCTGCCAAAGATGTTGAACTCTTTACACTAAAAGATCTTCCATGTCACAGTTTACCGAGGACAAATGCAGAACTAGATAATAAAGGTATTGCCAGGTATTCTCGTCAGCTGATCCTACCAGAACTTGGACCAAAAGGGCAAAAGAAATTACTAAGTTCTTCTGTTCTAATTGTTGGTTGTGGTGGTTTAGGTTGCCCAGCTGCTATCTATCTCGCTGCTGCTGGTGTTGGGCGCATTGGACTACTCGATTATGATGTTATTGAAATAAGCAACCTTCATAGACAAGTGTTACACACAGAGGAACGGATCGGTGTACCAAAAGCCGTTTCTATAGCACAATCTATTACTGCACTGAATAAGGATGTTGAAGTGTTACCTTATGACTTTGTGCTAACAAGTGAAGTAGCATTACAATTGATATCAAAATATGATCTCATTCTCGATTGTACAGACAACGTTGCCACACGATACCTACTCAATGATGCTTGTGTCATGGCAGACAAACCTCTTGTGTCTGGATCAGCCTTAAGATACGAAGGACAGTTGACAGTTTACCATTACAAAGGTGGCCCATGTTATCGCTGCCTTCATCCAAAACCACCACCACCAGAGACTGTAACCAACTGCTCAGATGGAGGAGTTTTAGGTGCAGTACCAGGAACAATTGGTTGTCTACAGGCCCTTGAAGCTATTAAGATTATTACTAACATTGGATCACCATTATCTCAAAGTCTCCTTCTCTTTGATGGCTTGTATGGGACATTCAGGACTGTAAAACTGCGTGGTCACAAAAGTACCTGTGAAGTGTGTGGCGATAATCCTACCATCACTAAACTCATAGATTATGAACAGTTTTGTGGAGCAGCAGCAACAGACAAGGATACAGGCCTGAGCCTTCTTGCCAGAGAAAAGAGAATTACAGTAGAGGAATATAAATCCATCAGAGATTCAAACACCCCACACATACTTGTTGACACAAGATTACCAGTTGAGCAAGAAATTTGTGCATTACCAAACAGCGTTAACATTCCAATGAGTCAAATAGAGAAGGAGAAGAGTCGAGACATCATCCAGAGCAATTTGGCAAGTCATGGAACTAAGAAAGTGTTTTGCATATGTCGTCGAGGGAATGATTCACAGAAGGCAGTTTTAGAGCTGTCACAGTTATTAGGAGAAGAATATGAAGTCAAAGATGTCATAGGAGGGCTGACAGCTTGGGCCAACAAGATAGATTCTTCTTACCCAGTTTATTAATGACAAATATGAGTAATTGTCTAAAGCATTCTCAAGGGAGCGAATATGAAATTTATGGTTGTTATTAAGTTGAAAGTGTATTTTTACAGGTTTTCTTAAAGTGTTTTAGTCAAGAAATGTTAATAAACTTTGACAATGTCCATTGTTTAATTAATTTATATGAAAGATCTTAACTTTGTTACTCTGTTACTAGATCATTTTTATTAATAGCATATTTTACTCTTTCAAAATTAATAAAATTATGAAAAAGTGAAACAAAGAAAATATATGAATACAAATGAAGAGCAAAGCATTCTTCTGAATGGAAAAATAGATTTGTAATTGTGATTTTTCATTCTAAATTTCTATAAGCATTACATAATACTACTTCAAAAAGGGATTTAGTTTTAAAGTGTAAGTAAAAAAGCTCAAGGAGACCAAAATAGTCATAAGAGTAGTAGTGGTTGAAAAACCCACAATGCACAAACTAGATTTATTGAAATAAATGAGACAACAGTTTTGAAATCCTCCAGGATGAAGATGGAATCCAGGTTTTTGAAACTGTGGTCTCATTTATTTCAATAAATCTAGTTTGTGCATTGTGGGTTTTTCTACCATTTTATCAACACGGTAGTTTTTTTCCATTCACAGTCATGAGAGTAGAAAAAGGTGTAAATGAGAATGAACATCTTCACATTACAAGAGATGTAAGTGCCTGGTTTTGATTGTATCTTCAGAAATGTCTTACACCTGCTGTGCATTTTGATGCTTTCTCTACCATATCTTTATGATGCAAATATATTAAACAAATTAACCAAAAAGAGTCCTTGCTGTTAAACTGAAAACGTACAGTGAAATGACAGGTGATGATATATGTGATTTTTCACTGATATGAAATAGTTTTTTCATAATAAAATATCACACAAGTGTTGGGATAAGCATAAGTAGGTATAGTGAATGCAAGCAACCTGACTTTTACAGATTATAATTAGATTTTGCCATAAAATTCACATATGCATTTGATGGTTAATGGTTAATGCTTTGAACACATAAATGTGCCAGACGTCAAAGGTCTGATTGCACTATGGTAAAAGTATTGTGGTGAAAAGGATTTAATGGAGTTTATTAGAACAAAATGTCTTGGGTTTTAACGGTCATATGAGTTTGAAACCAGCAATAACTGAGAATGTTCCCTCTGATCTCACCACCTGGGCAGTCCCCTGATCAGACAGGATGCAAAAATATTGTTATTCGGGACATTAAGTTTTTCTTTTCTTTTTTTAAATATTATAATTACATAAAGACATGAATAAAATTAGAAATTAAAGTTGATTTGCTGCTCAAGACAGCAAAAATGTTTCATGCCTTAAGTAAATAAAATATGACAAGTCAGGTTTCAGCTGAGAATGTGTTTTTCGTAATTCATAAAACATCAGTTTGTCATGGTATTGTAGCCGACCCCCGCAACCTGCAGCGCGGCACACTTCCCCCAGGTTGGGTCCAGGTCCACAGTCTGTCCTCTCGCCCTCACTATCAGCAGCTTCTCAAAGACGCATAACGAGACCCGATTGGTTGACACCGGACACATCACGGCTCACCTATTGGACCACAGGCTCCCCTCGTTCCCTGGTAGCTGGCACAGCTCAGCCCTACCTAAGCTCCAGCGTCCGGGCCGAGTTCAGCACTCACCGATCCTCCAGCAGAGCAAGACACAGCAGCAAGCAACCAGGACTACCCAGGCCTTAGTCATTGGGGGAGCCGCCTCGGTTCTCCCCATCGATCTCCAGCACCCAGCCATACCTGTGGGCACTCACACCCACACACAAAAGCTCCTTAAAGAGATGATTGACACCAGTCTATGGCGGATGCAAATCCATTGCTACAGTATCTCACAATTCAATTGTCTGACACCACTAGCACAAAAACATATTTGTGTTACAGCCTGTGCCTTACATTTCTATAATTTTTTAAAGGTATTTATGAACACTATTTCTGAGTATATTCAATGTTATATTGCTTCAAGAAGACAAATAAAATTGTAATTTGCACAGATTATTCCCTACCTTAAAAGTTGATAAGTATATGGATAGAATATTAATAAATGACATTTTGAAAATATTAATTCTTTTTGACAAGGAAAACAAACAAGTATGGATAATTATATGATCATATTTACGTTCAATAAGAATAGATTTCTTTTATTTTCTAATTATTAATGTGTTTAAACAATGTTTGCATAATTTATTTTACATAATGAGACATTTCATTGTTATATTCTGTCTAGCCCCCGCCCCCTCAATCCCATGCCCATTGTTGTCGTGGGGTCCATAGATGGTGACTGATGCCCAATTTAGGGGATCACCCCTACTGTGGACCTCAGCCCTCGCCTCAACTAATTTTACATAGTCTTTTCTTCTCCACCTTACTTTTTCCTTCTCTACTTTATCCCCTTCCATCTACATCCTAAAGTATGAGAGCCATGCTAAAAGGATGAAAGGATGACTTTGTCTCAAATCCTGAACAGCCTTAGTATTTTGTTTGCTTTTCCCTCTTTGCCATTTTCACTAACATACCTACAGTGCTCTCTAAAGCCTTTATCTAACATATTTTGTCTTAATTGTTAATTCATTTTTTACCATTTTGCTACAATACTTTGTCATGTTACTGTATGACCTTTCCTTACCGGAGTGCTTTGCACCCAAGCTTCACACTATCACTATATTTGTTATACGTTATTAATAGCCTTAGATGTTGATGCAGCAGAAATAAAAAAAAATAATAATAATAAATCTTAGTTTGGCATAACATTAGTGAATTGAGAAAAGAATACAGTACCAAAGATTAATTTTTTCTTCATTTTTAATTTTTTTAGGATTATTAACATTCATTTACATTATCAGTTGTTTTTTATTTTAATATCAAAAATTGATGGAAGCAGGGCATCATTATTATACACATTGGTCCATCAAGTCTGGAATAATTTGTTTTCTTTCCATTTCTAAGGAGCACAAACCAGAAGGAATGAGTGCAGAAATTAATAATTTCTCTTGGTCAAACTGCACTAAATTCTTGGACTTTTAAATAAAACAATGTTTAATTGTATCTTATCTGACATTTATACTAGAGCTATAGTACTACATGTCAGATTGAAATAGGGCCATACATAGAGTAAATATTCTTTTCTTGTTTTGAAAAAAAAAAAGACTTGATTTGAAGGTTTTGTAAATTTCTGGCTTTATTATTCTAACATGTATGACCTTATTTAAATCAAATATTTATGACACACTATTCCAACCTTGAGGGTAATATGTGAGCCTTCTGCTCAGCTCGTTTCCACCCACGACAGATATGATGAGCCTCCACTATTGCTACCTATTATGGTGGAGGTCTAGGTGTTGTCTGCCAGTCTTTTAGCTTAATGAAACCAAAGCCTGAGCTGACACCATCCCCTATGGGTAATGAGGAGCTGTAGACCATATAGAATAATACGTTGTGCCCTGTGGTGATTGCTCTTTTGCTCTATCACTCTCTTGCCACATTTAAACATTTATCAGTACAAATTGGGTGGTCTTATTCTTTTAACATTTGTATTTCAACATGTCACATAGCTTTTTTCTTGCAACATATTAATTACTGTTATAATTAAGTATAATATACATTATCTTGCTGCTGACCAGCTTCAAAAAAAAAATTATTGCAACAGCAGTAGCAACTTTTCATGTACTTCTGTGTATAAATATTCCACATTCCTGGAATATTTCCTTTTCATGTTTCAACAGAAATTTAACAGAGTATACTGTAACTTATTCTGATTTTGCATAATCAGAAGCATATTCTACCCACTTAAAGTAAATAATTGGGTAAAATATATCAATGGAATCCATAACTGTTACAAAATCTTGGAATGTTTTTTATTCAGCATTCATTTTGTTCAATTTCCACCTTCATATTAATAAAAGAAACTGCAAATAAGTAGGTAAGAAATGATACACATGGGCACAGGCTTACAGTAATACTGTACTTCCAGAAACTTTCAGTAAAAGTATTTCAAAGCAAAGTAATAATAAAATCAAATAAAAAGTTAATTTCGGGGGGCATATCCATCACTTTATCTCATACAGTCCTTTCTGATCTTTGCAATTTTTGACATATGGTTTGTAGACATGTTTGCATACGCACTAGTTCTTATCAGAAAAGGAATATTTTTTCCAACTAAATACATCTTGTTCTTTTCCTCACTAAGACCCAAACTATCAGCTGCATAACTGGTATTTTTAGTGCTTAACACTCCCTTCTCCGCTATGTACGATGCAAATATGAATCCAGTCATAAAGGCATCGTACCCAGCTTTGTGGCTTCCGGCCTTTTTGCTATCTTGATTATTTGATTTTGAGTCACCGTTATGATCTTGGCCTGGTTCATCATTTCCATTTCTCTCATTTCCTGATTTGATACTGCAAATTTTATTTTTCTTCCTGTCTGGTTCGAGGTCTTCATTTATCCTCTTCTTGTTCTCCATTTCCTCTTTCTTCACTGCATGCTGTATGATGTGTACCAGCGACCCGGTCTTTGGCCCACTGTATTTTCTACCAGTTGAACTACTCTTCTTAGCACCCTTAGGTTGAAGTTGTATGACTATTTTATTTATATTATGACTGCTTCCACATTCACTACCTTTTGAGCACCATCCATGATACTGGAAAAATAAGTAAAATTAACCATATTAAAAGTACATAATACCTATAAAATACTGTAGTTTTTCTTTTAATATGTAAATCAACCATGATACATTGTTAGTTATAAAGTCTTCATTTGTTGGGAGTAGTACTATTAATGTTCTTGGGAGGATGTAAAGTTCAATGAGAGCAAATACATTCACATAGTAGTAACAATTGATTCAGTAAAACATACCAGTGCAGTTTATAGAAATCCATACTCATTATTACACTTATTAGTGTCTACAAAAACATTACTTAAATACTCATTACTATGTTGTAGTTGTAACTGCTACAGTAGACCTGTGTGTAAGTTTAAATTCACATGGACTGATCACTGTGGCATTAGTAAAATTTACATGTGCTTTAGGTTTCTGTATGATTTAAAAGATGAAAGAAGTTATTACAAAACTGATTAATACAAAGAGAAGCAGAAACGCATTTGAAAAATTTCATGTAAAGCTAAACCACTTGCATCTCTTTTGATATTTTCACTTGAAGGGGGATCAAACAACACTTGAATGTTATACATGATTTCTGTAGTTCAAGTAAACAACCAAGTGATTTGAAAAGGATTCCTGTAGTACAGGCTCAATCTCAATAATCTAACATTTACTGGTTTGGTAAGTTTGATGGCTGGGAACTTTTACTAAAGATGCAGTCATTAGTTTGCCTAATTACTGCTTGGCTAGCCATTACTCCTCCTCGTTTTGTTTTCCTTAACCTCATGCTGACAGGACTGCACCTACAGTTCCCCAGCAGGAGTGCCAGACAGCAAATATTCATCATGTCCGCAATGGGTTAACCACAACTGACTTTCACTGGTGGATGATGCTATACTGCTTTAGATTGGTAATAGTTTTTCCCTAAATGTGCTTCCATTTTAGACTAGCAAGTAATACAGATTGTAATATAACACAGTGAAGTCCAGTATGCCTAGCAATAATTTATGCTAAAGGAAGTTGTATGAGTCTATGTTATACAGTGAAGTATTATTTTGCATTTTGTTATAGAAAATTTCTCTGGGTGCAGAATCTGTTACTTGATGAACTAGAGGTTGAACCTATACAATCAAAATTTATAAGCCATTTTTGTTTAGACCTAGAAAAGCCAAAATGCAGAGAAAAAAAAGAAAAGAAGAGGAAAAAAAGAAGCATTTTGAATTTTAAAAATTATACACTGAATGAGAAATGAGATGTTTCCATGATAAAGTCAAAAAATTATCTGAGTGACTGAAAACCCAAAACTATTTGTTCAAAGCAATTTAACTGATCTTATGAAACAGATAGCTACTCCTGGTTTGAGTAAGATGAATTACTTTACCTACAGAAAATTCTATCCAGTTGAATATACTTACGGCAAATGTCTCACAAACTTCTAGACCATCATCATCACTCTTGGAATCATATGAATGGATCTGTAAGTATGGATACCAGTCTACGTTGGCCAGGTTGCTTGGGTAAGGGGGAAAGGTTACCCTGACGTGCCACTTCCCTGAAACTTCTCTGTGAGCATTCTTCAGCTGCCTGTAAGAAAGGGTAATGTTCATTTGAAAACTTAGTGGAAGTAAATGTTCTTTATAGAGGCTTACAGTTAATATACAGATTCTCAATTAATGCAACTTTCCAAACTACTCTAGCCAATATAAATTGTGAAACATTTGAGACCTAAATTTAAAAACATATACTATGCAAACTACAGAGCCTGTGACAAACCACATGCTGGATGCGAAAGTCAGCAAAAACAAAAAAATAATCATATTAGTACATATAAAAAACATTTTGCAGGAAATTAATACTTTGGCCAGTAAAGTTATCAATGATATTACATGAATTCACTAGGGGGTAAAATAAGATACGCATGAGAGAGTAAGAAACAAAGTCTTAGCTATATCTTCTCAACACTACTGTTTAAATTTACAACAAATATAAAGTGTGCCATTAATTAAGGCTACTTTCAACCTTCAACATGGTATAGTCTTTTTCATCTTCTATGTTGCTTGGAGACTATTATCTAACTTTGTTTACAATGCTGTAGTACTTTGGTTTGCATAAAAGTTAGATATTGTCAGAAAGTAATGAAGACTGACCAATGTTAAAATTAGAGTGGTCTTAAAAGATGAAACTGACAATAAACATAAGCCTAAATATTTGCAGCATTGGTATGACAGCCATGGAAAGCCCACAGATATTTCACTTTGACAATACATATAAAGCACATTATGCATATGTTGCACATCTGTGTATCATTCATTATTATATAGTAAAACACTCCCCTGTGTCATTAGTTAGTATCCACATCAAAAAAGGGAAAAGAGCTGGTAAAAGAAAAGGAAAATTACTACAACAGTTGGTTCCTAAAATGTATACAAGTAAGCAGATGTCCCTCCTTATCCTCACAGACTGGTGTACTATCCCTTTGATATAATGAAAAAATAACAAATGGCCAATCCAGCCTATTGCTAATCCTTGTAGCACATGCTGACATACAATGGTGCAATGTTTGGCTATCCAGTCATCCACACTGATAGGGAATGATATGCATTAAGTTGATACCAGACTTTACATCAGTTCCAACAATCATAAATTCAGAATAAACACATTCACAATTCACAAGTACATAGTCCTAAAAGTATCAAAATCACAGATATCCAAATAAACTTATACTTGGTCTCCAGATATAATATATTGGTTGTCTTATGTGTCTTATCAGTATGTGATTAGAATATTTTTGCATCTGAAGTTAAGTCCAAGCCCTCTACAACTTGGGCAACCTGGACCAAGAATGATGACTGTCAGAATGGGCCTTTTCTACTCAAATTAACAACAAAGAGGAGTGTGAGTGAGGAGAAGTGGTTTTATGTGATAAAGCAGATGAAGTCCGGTAGGTCTAGTAAATGACTCCAGGGTGACTTAAGCTGCGTCCACACTAGTGACATGTTGCTTGGAGACAAATTGGAAACGTTTGTGGGGGACACAATAGGAGACATTCATATACAAATCTCCTGATATGTATGGGGACATATCTGTTACAATGTTGAGAGACATGTCGGTAGTAAGAGTAGACTTGGTAAAATTGTGCACTCCATGTTGGTCTGTTGGTTGGTGGGAGGTCTCTGACAACATCACCTCTTCCACACCAGGGTTGCTAACATGTCGCTCAGCAAATTTGTACCAACATGTCTACTACAATGTTCCTCAACGATTTAGCAATCTGTTACCCAACTTGTCAGTCTTAATGTTCCCACCATGTTTTGTCACTGGTGTGGATGCAGCCTTATGTGAACAATGCACATGCATATGCACTCCTGGCATCAATGGGATTAGCCAAGGCACATTTGGATTCTATGGGTCAATTTACATAACACTCCTAATCTGTGCAAGTCCTTAGACAAATATTCACACTTACATTTTTGTGTACAGATAATCCAGGTATGTTGCAGGCACAGATTGATGGAACTCTGCTATATACTTTGTATCATATACTCCACACTGGAACATATCAGACAAATCTGCTGCAAAGGTTTCAGACTTTTTAGGAAGTTCTGCATAAAAAGCTTGATAAAGATACACCAAGTCCAAAAGGCCATTGTGAACCACAACAGGTTTTCTGTGCTCTACAATGCTTGACAATACATGTCGAATATTTGGATTCTCCTCTTTCTGAAAGAAAAAAAAAATGCTTAAAGTCCTCTGATTAATGTTACTCAATTATTGTACCAACAATTGATCAAGATAAGAAACATAATGAACTTATGGCCATGCATACTTAAAACAGTATCTTACATTTGTATTTTATCACATTTACTAAGGGTAAACAAATATTGGTATTATTCACTCCAAAATACCTCTTTATCACATCCTTTGTAATACTGCAGTCCTTTGGCATACAACTTGTTGAAGTCAAAGCCATGTCTTTCAAGGAATTTGAATGAGTTACACTCTACAGTAAAGTCATCAGAACATAATGTGATGAAGTTAAAAGTCTGCACTAGATAATCATGGCTAAGGACTTGTCCACATCCACCTGTAAATAAAATAAAAAGTCAAGGACCCCCAAGTGATTTGTTTAACTTGGAAAGTGAAAAAAATGAAAACCATGCCAATGTACGTTTATTGAAAAAAACAATATACAAAATATCAGATCAAAATTACTGTTCTCTGAAACAGTAGCAAAAAGACTTCATACAAGTACATGCTTCATACATTCTATTTTCTGCATTTCTCTTTTTCAGCTTTTGTTTTTTACAATATTAAAGATGTATGTTTTGATTTTGGTAATGAAAGACACAGGGATGGGCAAAAAACCAACAGTGTGTTAGAAATACCAATCTAGTTCACACAGACAACCAATGTGCAAAAACAAGCCTGTTTCTCAGCACAACCAGCTGTTTGAAAATACTACAAAGAATGAGTTAGCCCACTTATGGAGAGATTCCCCAGTGCCAAACCAAACCATGTGTTGGGGTGCATGTGAACTCAGCTCAAGGGAAAAAATTAAACTTGGAATACATACAATTACCCTACTCACTACACTTTTGGCTGCAGTATAAACAACTGCTTAGGTAATGAGATTATAACAAGGCATCAAGCCTACATTTAAAGAATTGATTCTCCTAAATAAATATAGCCAGGGTCAAACTAGCTTACAACTATTTAGCACTTGCAACTTGGAGAAGGCTCAACCATACATGGCATAAAAAAGTCATCTAAAAGTAAGGGATAAGATTGTCTATTGTCCATACACAAAATACTCAAATTTTATCTTTTAACCTTCATTTCAATAAGTTTTATTCATGATCCATGTTTTTGTTTTGCTTTGTATGCCTTTACATGATAACAACATTTTCATGAAATAAGACAAGAAAAATAAAAATAAACTTACCATTTCCTCCTTACTGTCATCCTAAAAAATGTCTTGCAGGGAGCACAAGAATTATTTCCTACTTCAACATTTTTTGAAACCTAAACTGACTAAGAGTACAAACTCTTTATTTTTATTGTAAAAGTATTTGAAATATAGAAGATTTAGTCTGGGTGATGCTAGCTGTTTAAGTTAAACTAAAGTCCATACAGGAAAAAACACCTCTTTCTGCTTTCACTCTGAAACTCTATAAATATTCACTTAAGATCATTAAACAGACATTAATGCTGACCTCTCATGTTCCATCCTTTCCATGCATAAGTATTACACTGAAAACATACCTGTAAGGCAAGTAAATCAACTAACACACACATGATTTACATATATCTTATGACTAAACCTTAATTCATGACAGCAAAGTCACAATGTTTTTTTCTTATTCCACTATCTCTCATCAATCAGTGCATAAATTCCTAAAAACTGGAAAGAATGAAAATTCATATGTTACCTTTTAAACTTTCATTGAAAACTGAAAATACTAGAAATAATAACATACCTTCATTATTTTCTATTTTTAGATTGCTCACTGACTTGCAGGTAAAACAAGATAAACCCAACGACACAACTGCATATTTCCGTGCGACTTCAGCCATATACTGATAACGGAAATCTATCTCTGGATAATTTATCTTCTTCCGTTGTCCAAGACCACTGAGTTCCTGAAAAAAATGTCAAACTTCAATAAAAAAGCTCCTGGTTCACTAGTCTTTATTTATTCAGAGTATAAAAACTATGCACTTAATTATATGTACAAGCATGAGAATATCTTTATTTAATGTCCATAACCTGACTTGCTGCTAATGTAACCTCTTTCCAATACTTTGCAAAAACAAAATAATAATAAAAAAAAATTACATGTCGTTCACAGTAATGAAATACTCACGCAATCAATGGCCACAAATGAAGCTTTGCTGATCGCATCTCTTATAGCTGGTAAAACACTAACAAAATTGTCTTCACTAACTTCAATAACCGGCAATTTTTCCATGGTCTTTCTGCCCTAACACGAAACTTTTACAGGATTTCACTTTAAAAATCGTCCCTACTCCGTAAGTAGAACAATAAATAGCTTAGAATTAATATAACTCTGAGAAGTTGGAACTCTTAAGCTTAAATATCATTTCCTTTTAAATATCACGGGAATTATAGTGTTATTAAGTTAAATTTATCAAATTATCCCTATTATTTGCAGTCAAACCACATGATTTGTTTACATCGTGACGTCATTTGCATTTC